TTTAAATTTGCCCAAGGAAGCTGAAAGAAGCTGAAGCAGAACAAAATGTGAAAGGAGCAGTACAGTAAAAGGTTGTAAACAGATCTAAATATTTGAAGGAAGTAAAATGAGCTCAATTCATTTTCGACGAGGAAAAAAATGGCAGAAAAGGCTAAATATTTCAAAAAGCTAAAGTTGCACCAATACCAAAAGTCATAGCAGGATTGCCCTGAAAGAGCTGAATGTCTTGATTTATGATTTGTTGAAATAGCTTGAAATCTGCGGGTTGTGAATCGCGCTGAAAAACATACGGAAGAAAAATGGATCACAATAGTGTGAATGCTTCATAAACAATCACACAATAAAGTATCAGAAAAGCTCTGTTTCCATTCTTTCTGAGACCTTTAAGTTCCCCCTTTTAAAATTTATTAAATGACTTGTTGCTTTCAGTCACTTTAAAACATAAACACAATCAACTATATTGGTCTCTGGTTTTAACTCTTAAAATATCAAGAGCAAGTTGTACCAACAAAGAAGACTTTTATAACATTATGACCTACTGACTATCACACTTACTGTGAAGTTTGTGTTTGGTTTATTTACCCAACTTTATTCATGAAATCCATCAAATACAGAGGCTGTTCATATTTAACCAACACCAGCATGATCCTTGGTCTTAAGATGTTCTTCTACCTGATGAAATCAAACTTCTAGATTATTCACACCAAGATAATAAATAAGTTGTTATTTTATGGAAGTCATTTCATCGAATACGAGACAGTTGTCAAAAGACAGGTGTATTTCTCTGATTTAGTATACTGTAAAGCATCCAATCAGATAATGTTTTAAACTCTTAAAAATATCTTCTGAACATAATACTGTAATTCAGTGAACTTTATTAATACAGTTTCCTTCTTTGTGTTGCAGGCCATGTTCCTGCATCAGCTGCAAGTCTCCTACCTGCAAAACCAGGTAGGCTTATGTGATGAGCCAGAACTCTACTGTTTTGTCACATTTCATTTAAATGGGCTCCTTAAAAAAACATAAAATAAAAAAAAATGTGCTGCTTGATGATCGACAAAAAAGTCAAAATGCCTTTTTGTTGCTGCAACATACTGTATTTATCTTAAAAACCATCACAAACACCACGAGTCTGAGCTAAACCCAAACCTTATTTGTTTCTGTAATGATCAATCCATTATCTTTACTCGCTTCTCCCTTTCCGGGTCATGGTGCCCACATCCAGCGGTCACAGTGCAAGGGGTGGGGTACCATACCGTACCATACCGTACCGTACCGTACCATACCGTACCATACCATACCATACAACACCAGAGGATCTGTGTTTTAAACCTGTACGCTCCACACTGGTTTGTCGTCATAATTATTATCTGCATCGTTTTTATGTCCACATTTTTGATTTACTTCATTTTGTATATTGCTTCGTGTGTTGTCTATTGTTCTGTCTGTACAGCACTTTGGTTGGCCTTGTAGCTGTTTTAAGTGCTCTATAAATAAAATGGTACCATACCATACCATACTATACCATAACATACCACTTTATTTATAAAGCATTTTAAACAGCCACAAGGCCAACCAAAGTGTTGTACAGCAAAAACAACACAAGCAAAGGACACAAGATAAAATACATAGATGCAAAGACATAAAGATAAGAACAAAATGTCTAACATTATAAAATACAGATGTTAAAACACAGTGTCAAAAGCCGGGGAATAAAAGTGTTTTTAAACAAGACTTAAAAACAGTGAGAGAGGGACCTGCCTGACATGAAGTGGTAACTCATTCCACAGTCTTGGACCTGCAACAGAGAAGGTCCTGTCACCTCTGGGCTTAAAACGAGTGCCTGGAACCAATAAAAGCATATGGTCTGCTGACCCCAGAGAGTGTTGCGCAGCATATGGCTGCAGCAGATCAGAGAGATAGGAGGGGGCAGAACTGTTCAGAAATTAAAAAAAAACATACAGAAGGATTTTAAAATGACTTTGAAAGTGAACCGGGAGGCAGGTGTCCAGGGTGGACACCCTGGACAGGCCTCCAGTCCATCACAGGGACACATAGAGACAAAAAACCATTCACCCTTTCACTCACACCTGGGGACAATTTAGAGTTATCAGTCAACCTAACATGCATGTTTTAGGTCGGTGGGAGGAAACCGGAGTATCCGGAGAAAACCCACACATGCACGGAGAGACCATGCAAACTTCACCCAGAAAGGTCCCAGGTCGGGATTGGAACCGGCAAACTTTGCGCTGAGAGGCAACAGCTCTACCAACTGAGCTACCTATTTCAAGTTCAAGTTTCTTTATTGTCATTCGCATCACATGTGGTACATGAGGTGGAACGAAATTGTGTACTCAGGGTACCAGTAACGCCCATAAATAGCAAAAATATAAAGTATAAATAGAAATAGTATATAAGGATCTAAGATGGCAGCACAATGTCTCAGTGGTTAGCACTGTTGCCTCACAGCATGAAGGTCCTGGGTTCAAGCCCCGGTTGGACCTTGGGTCGTTTTGGATGGCGTTTGCATGTTCTTCTCGTGCTTGCGTGGGTTTTCTCCGGGTACTTTGGTTTCCTCCCACAGACCAAAAACATGCATGTTAGGCCTTCAGGCCCAGGCCTCCCTTGCAAAAGAGATCTGTGGTTAAATAAAGGTTAATAAATAAGATATACACTAAGATAAACACTAAACAAACTCTAAACAAATCGCTAACAGATCTAAAATATACACTAAACACTAATGTAAAATAATACGGTATATTAAACAGCAGCTTATTATTATTTCAGTAATGCTTCAGATTTTAAAGTTTTAAATTTGTTGAATACACTGAGTTCAAGTTCAAGAATCTTTATTATCCTCGAGGGGCAACTTGTTTCACAGTCAGTAGGCACATACAACTGATGACATGATGATGGTGTCATCATGTTGGTCAGGTGGTTTAAGATTCCTCTCAGGATGAACAGCAGCAGCTCCCACAATTTCGTTCCACCTCATGTACCACATGTGATGCGAATGACAATAAAGAAACTAGAACTTGAAATTGAACTTCACTACAAAAACAAACCCCCCCCCCCCCCCCCCAAAACCTGTTATTTACTCCTATGACTAAAAAATGTGCATAATTTTTTTTAGATTCTGTGAAAAATTGAGGATGTTTTCTACAGTTTTGGCTATTGTTGTTAAATTTAAGGCTTAACATGCATTAATAAACATAAACCTCTTTAAATTGATCATGGCCAGAGACAATTCCTGCTTGATGCAGAAGTTTGAACCTGCTGCAGCATTTTAGATCTTAACTTTGTAAACTGCTGACAACAAATGAAATGTATTTTTTAAATTGTCAAATTTTAATTGACTCTAAAACAATCTCCTCATCCAGAGTTGTTACACCGTCTAGTTTTGTGTCATTTTTCCTGTAAAGTTAGATTTATTTTCAGTTATTGTCTTACTTAGTTATGCTAATTTGATAATAAAAAGTATAAAATCTGTTGGCACTTTAAACCCTGACAGCCTGTGTTTGGTTTCATTGTGGTGCTTTTCTTTTAGAAAAACACGTTCATTTTTATATAATGATATTTATTCTGTCTGTGCAAACTAACACTGTGTTTTCTGTCTTTTTTCACCCATCAGGGGATTATTCTTCCTCAGATGTACACGGCTGCAGTGGCAAACATCTTCAACTTGGGGATCAACTATCTTTTAATTTCTGTTCTGGAGCTGGGAGTCGTGTGAGTGGGTCCAAGTTGTCCCGCCGTCTAACAGTCGATGGACTTTGTTTGGTTGGATACGGTATCGGAGCTCACAAAGCCCGACAGATAAAACATGTCGGACATCAATAACTTTAGAGGAAGAAAGTAAAGATGAAAGAGTTGTGAGCTGATGAAGAGGAGACGGGATGAAAACTGGGTCAGAGAATGTCCAGTTCGTCTCTCAGAGGGGCGATTTGTTTTTTGTTCTGACTCAGTCAGCAGTTCACTGCAGTTTATTGTTCTTAAACTTATTTAGAGAGCGACGCAGAGAGAGGAGACAGGACTGGGACAGGAGTGGATCTGCTCCCAGCTGGACAAACATTTTAGTCGTCAGACTGTTGACCAATCAAATCGCTGCTTGGGTCCAGTTTTTCCCGCCTGTTCTGTCCCACATGGAGCAGGGACTCCTGGCAACGTTCTCTCAGACCTGTTACAGCTCAGCTGAGAAGGCAGAATCACAGCTGCATGTCTCTGAACATCTGTCCGTCCTTCAGTGGATGACAGAAATTTAAAGAAAACTTTTTTTATGTGTGTGCAGAGGATCAGCAGTCGCTAACAGCCTCTCTCAGATCATCATCTGCCTGCTGTTGTTCGGCTACATCCGATGGAAGAAGCTCCATGAGCAGACATGGGGAGGTGAGATCCTCACAGAACTCTAACAGACCCTCGTGGGTCTGTGGACTCATGGGCGGTTTGTTGTGAAATGCTCTGCAGGCTGGTCCACGGAGTGTCTGCAGGACTGGGACTCCTACATGAAGCTGGCTGTCCCCAGCGTCTTCATGATCTGCTTTGAGTGGTGGGTCTGGGAGGTGGGAGGCTTCCTTGCAGGTGAGAGGTGAAAGCCAAACAGAAAAATGTTCCCGTCACTTCAGAGGACATCAAATGACTCACATTATTTCTCTCTGAGAGAGAACTGCTTAACTTTAATCCCCTTTAAAAGAAAAAACACTTTAATTCAATCCTGTGTAGATGAGTGGTCATTAAATTCAAAGGGTTTACACCCATCCACCCATCCATCCATCCATCCGTCCATCCATCCGTCCATCATCTTTACTCGCTTCTTTCTTTTCGGGTCGTGGGGTCACTGGTACCCATGTCCAGCCATCACTATGTGAGAGGCATTGGACACCCTGGACAGGTCTCCAGTCCATCACAGGGCCACAAAGAGACAAATGAGACAAACAAACATTCATCCTCTCACTCACACTAGAGACAATTTAGAGCAGGGGTGTCAAACTCATTTATAAATGGGGCCAAAATTAAAACCTTTTTATAAATTAAGGGCCGGTTTCAGAACCTACATTAACTCAAGTTAGATACCCAACATCTTTTCTTGGTTTCAGGTTCCTGGTTGCAGGTTCCTCAACAAGAGTTTGACTGGTCTCGTTTGACGTTCTCTGTTGCACTTTTGACATCATAATCAAATATCACCAAAAAAAAATTAAAGAGATAAAAGTATTTTACATTTAAAACAACATCTTGGATGCCAGATAAGATGTCAACGAGAGCCACATTTGGACCCCAGACCTTGAGTTTGACACATGTGGTTTAGAGTTACCAATCAGCCTAACATGCAAACTCCACCCAGAAAAGCCGGGATTCAATGGGGCGACCCGCTCGCTGAGAGACAACAGCTCTACCATTTGAGCCACCGCCCCAGTGCCAACATATCCACCCAAAATGTATGTTTGCACAGTTACCACATTTAATAATTTACAATTAAAGATTAAAGAATGACGGTGTTGCAGGAGATAAATTGGGCTGCATCTTTCAGAGACATCCTCCTACATTTTGAATCAAACTGGAAAAAAACCCCATTTTAAATCATTCTGAAGGCAAGAGAAAACAAATTAACAACAACAACAAAAAGGTTGACAGGTCCACCAGAACACAGCATAGATACAGTGAAAATACACGATACATTTAACTTTTAGAGTAAATGAATAAAATTTGCTCGGGAATAATCAAAGCTAATCTTTCTGAAAAAAATTATTCTGAACATCTCATCGTGTGAGAAAGTAGACGACAGCCCTCGTCATGATTTAAAGTGATTTTGTCTTCACACACACTTATACTTGAAAAACATCACTGATATCTGTGCTGGTTTGTTCAACTGAAAGAAACATTTAAAATTTAAAATTATTATTTAAAAAAATTTGTTTAACTGTGCAAAAATATATTTTTGACCTGGCTCAGAGTATCATGTAAAAACAGTAAATTAGAAAAAAATTGTTGCAGCTTTATGTTTAATGCTCCAAAAAAAAAAAAATGCAAAATGCATTTGAAATATTTTGTGGGACACAATTTTTCCTGTCAGATTTCGAAACATTAGATAATGCACCTTTAAATAAAACCTTTAAGTTGTCTGAAAACCATTTATTGTCTTGTTTCTTAATTATTTTGTTTTGTGTCTGTTTTAATTTGAGTTCCTAAGTTGAATGAATCTCAGCCTTGCAATAGACGCATGGTGAAAATTTAAATAGAAAAAAAAAAAAAGTTATGGTTTTGGTCACTTTTCTGGAGAAAGCTACAGAACAGAAAAGCCGAGGGACTCATTTAAACCCTTTATTTGATGTATTTATTTCTGTGTGAGTTTCTTCCTGCAGGTCATATAATTAAAGTTAATGTCTGAATGCTGATCAGGTGTGCTTGGAGAGGTGGATCTCGCGGCGCAGCATGTGATAGTGGAGATAGGAAGTATAGCATACATGGTATGCATCATGCACTAATAACGCAAAATGTGTTGTTTGTTAGCAAACTGTAACTAAAGCATGCATCTTCAGTTCCCTTTAGGAGTCCATGCAGCTGCCTGTGTGCGTGTTGGAAACGCCCTGGGGGCCGGGGACACAGCCCGAGCCATAGTCACCTGTAAGGTCGCCCTGGTTCTGTCAGGTATGCAGCATTGTGAACCTCTTATTTATGTTATTAGTAATTTTTTAAGTCAAAGCACATGTGATATTTGTGTGAGTCTGAGGGTGTGTGTTTGCTGCAGGTGTGCTTGCCGTGCTCCAGGGTTTTGTCCTGGCCGGCAGTAAGTCCGTCCTGGGCTACATTTTTACCTCTGATGAGTGAGTTTCACTTCAACACACCTCTGTCAGCTCAGTTTCGTTGTGCTGATCTCCTTCTTCCATCCGCAGTGAAATAGTGGCGCTGGTCTCAGACAACCTGACAGTTTACACGTTTCTGCAGTTCCTTGACGCCCTGCTGGTACGTTCCTGTTCCTGTCATGTTTTACACGCACGATGATCAGTGCACATGCTGCTTGTTTCTTGTTGTCACATCAGTGTCTATGTTTTGTGTCAAACTCTCGGGCCTATTCAGTGCGTATGCTCAGGAATACTTGTCGGCACCGGGATGCAGAAAATTGCTGCCTTGTGCAATTTGGTGTCCTACTATGTGATCGGCCTGCCTGTAGGGATCGCACTGATGTTTGCTGCTCAGCTCAGAATTTTAGGTAATTTGTTCAAATATTTTACATGCATGAATCCTAAGATCAATTTTTGGTCTAAAGAATGACTGTCACAATTAGTTCCAGATTTAGGATTTATTGAAACGATTCAGGAGGATGTCATTTGTTAAGGATATGTAAAAAATCAGATTGAAATTTAAAATTTTAACAAGAGCAAAATGCTCAGCAATTTAATTATTGCCTGACAGAATTCCATAAAATAATATTTTATTTGTACAATATTATTGTTTATATTATATAATTATATGCTTCTCTAGAGCAGGGGTTCTCAAACTTTTTGGGTTCAGGGACCCCCTCATAACTCATGTTTATTAAATAATTTTCTTCAGTTTGTCACTTTAATGCACTGGAAATATTTGTGTAACATAAATACTTAAGATCTGTTCTCTCATAGTGTCAATACAATTTTTATTATTTTAAACATGGGGTATTCTTCATTCAATACATGCTTAATTAAAATTTTTCATTTCAACTTCCAAAAATTACAATTTTGAGAAAATTAACAGTATCAAAAAACACTTTAAAACTTTACCTCTTCACATAATGATCATAATAAATGTGCTCTCACTTGTCATTTTGTTATTTTATTGATTGCACAAAAAAAGAAACAATACAAATACAGGAAAAGATAAATAACAAAATGTGCACGAGAGGTCATAAAAACCCAAAATGGACTTACAAGACGCCCTCCCTCCTTTCTAGAAAAATAAAGAAAAAGTAAATAAAAGCTTTAAACATAAGCTTACATCTTACTTTAAACACACACAAATACCACAGCAATAGATAATACTTCATAATAAATTTAAATTGTCCAAAAATATTAAAATAATAATAAAAAATAAAACAAATGTGTTAAAAATCTGTACACTTTTTTCCAACTTTCTTTTAAATACTTATAAGTTTGTTTATGATTCACTTAGTTGTTTTAAACTGTTCCACAGCACAACACCTTGATGCAAGAATGAACATTTAGCAGCAGTGGTTCTGCAGAAGGGGACATGTAAATCACACCTCCTGCTTGTAGAGTATGAATGACAATAAGAATTACACTTTAAAAAATTATGAAAATATTTAGGTAAAGATAATGGAAAACATATAACTTTGTACATAAAGTTTCCTGTTTGATGCTTATTCACATAATAAATTGTAAGAATTTCTAATTTTTTAAACAGAGGTGTGGATGAAGCTTTTCCCCCAGAAAATTTTGAATAAAGTAGATGTGATTTACTGCATTTTGGTGTATTTTAACAGGTTGTTAAACATAAACGTGCTTGTAAAAAGCTTGTTTGAGAACCACTGCTCTAGATGAACATTATAAAAGTATTTAATCCAGATTTTAATATCAGCTTTAGGAAAACATTAGGATATTGTACTAGCTTTCACAATAAAAGCCTTTTCCCTCATGAATTCAGCAGTCGGTGATCAGCATGTTGCTGTAACTCTTTTACTGAGATCTCTGACCATCTGTAGGTCCTGTTTGTTCAAAGATCATCATCCTGGAAATAAACAGAAAATTTACAGTTTCCATTTAAACCATGAGTCATCAGCGATGCCCGCTGGGTCCGTCTTCTCATTCTCTGCTCATTTTTTAATTTTCCTCCCTGCAGTCCATAATTTACCTCCTGCCTCAGTGCAGCTCTTCTCTGCCCACTCAAACTGAGAAAAGTCTTTTTAAATAACTAAACTATTAACAGAAGGGCGACTCTGATTTATCTGAACATGTTTAGTTTGGTGTCTAAGTGACAAATGAGTGATTTGATTAAGTCTTAGCTTTGATCAGAATTATCTTGATCCACATAAAAAAAATAAATTAAACTGAATAGTTTAAAAATACCTTTGATTGATATTCTTTCTTTTCAAATTAATGAGGTTTACTCACTTTACGTGATTTCAATCACCGTCATCTTCGCATCAAAACTTTAAAAGCAAAAAGCTCAGCAGTTTTATTTGTACAATATGAACATCAATTCATTTTTTATTTGTGTAAATATATAAAATGTAATTATTAATTATGTGTCTGAATTTGTATCGTTCTTGTCAGGTTTGTGGCTCGGCCTCCTAATTTGTGTGTTCCTTCAGACGAGTTTCTTTCTCATTCTCATTTTTAAACTCAACTGGGAAAAAGTCACACAGAAGGTGAGATGCTCTCCTGTTTGTATTCATCTTTTATAAAACGTATTTTAAAACTTTGCAAACTGACTATTACAACTGTGACAGACATTATATTTGGAACAATAAAGTTTCAAAATGGAACCTCACCATCATATTCTGAGGCCTCACCTACAACTACTGCCTGGAAGAAAAGCAGAATAGATTATTTTAATCAGTTCATATTCATTGCTAAAAAATAATTTTGATAACAATCTTTGTAGTCTTCTGCAGTAAACTAGAGTTTTAACTAAAACAGGTCTCCTGCTGCATTTGCACCTGCTGTGAGAAAATCTGAGTTTTTGAAGAACTTGTTTTTTGACGTATCAAACAAAAAATGAAGCACTGCAGTTTATTTCCTCCCTGTACCTATTGTCTTTTTTTTAACAACAGGATAACAAAGCAACAGAGCTGATGTTGATAGTTTTTAAATGTCAGTCTTATGACTGTAGGAAAAATCATTAGCCAAGTTGAAAACAGTCTCTTTGTGTGGCTTTGATATTTGAGAATTTTTCTTTTTAAATTACGACATGGAGGTTTAATATAAATTAAAAAGTCTCATGAAATAACCAAATGAAACTTAAAAAATAAAATAAAAATGTGTACAAACTTATTTGTTTTTGATTTTCGCCGCGGAGCAAAAATGGGGAATTGGAAATACTCCATTCGTCCATGAATGTCATGAGCAATAACTTGAAAAATAAGTGAGGCACCGACTTCCATACTGATGTAGCTGCATCTAGACATAAAAAAGGTTCATTTTGAAAATTGGGTTGCTATCTCAAAATCCAAGACGCTCACCACCATTTCAGCTCCCGGACTCCTCTGCTCTCAGCCACCTGCAAGCGCTCATGGCCACGCCCACTTTGCACATTCTGTACGGAGAACAGCTGATCAGCTGCAGCAGGACGTTTATCCTGCAGCAGGTGCTAAATACTTTAAAATAATTTATTTTAAATAAAAATTCCATGACGATTGTGTGGCTCATCCGTCAATCAGCCATTATGTGTAGTGTCCAGACTTATATTGAAAAACCGCGATAAAGCGAGTCTGCGATAAATTAACCGCAAAGTAGCGAGGGACTACTGTACATGTAAACTGACCCTACCTATAATTTGAGGAAGCAATGGTTTCTAGTTTTTATATTGGTTCAAAGTATAGTTTCCTCAAATGTTTGGGGAGGCACTTGGGATGGCACAACATTAATCTATGGTGGCCACGTCCACCACTGGCCACCCCTTGGCTTTGCTCCTGGTGGTGGATAAAATGTTTCTCTCCACTCTCCAGGATTCGTCACTCCTCTCAGCCTCACACAAGAAAAAATAAATTTCTCCTGTCCTTTTCTACAGGGTAACTCTTACCCAAATGAATATCTTGCACACACACACACATACACACATACAAAAACATTAATATTTACTTCATTCTCTGTTCAATTTCAGTCCAAACATTCACTCATCTATAAAACTACATTCACTGTTCAGATCCCTCAGAGACTGGGACATCGGCCTGTTGTTTAAACAGTTTTTGAGTCAGTTTCATGTATAAATGTGTTTTGTATTTGTGCGTGTTGAATATATCCTTAATGTGCTTCAGGCTCAGCAGCGAGCAGGGAAAGTGATAATGGTGACACCAAAACCTCCTGTTGGTCCGGTCCTGAATGAAACTACCGGTCTGCTGCCGGACGTGGCTCTCTGCCCTGACACAGTAAGTTTTAGTTGTTGTCCTCTTGTGACCTTGAGGCTGCTCACACATTTAACAGCTTTTTTTTTGCACCATAAAGGCCCCGCTGAACAGTGACATTAAAACAGATGGTTACAGTCCTGTTATAACCCAAGATCTGGAGCTGAAGACGAGCCATGAGTCTGAGGGCAAAATCACGAGCGCAGGAGGAACTGAGGGCGATTCTGAACCTAGCAAAAATACTTTAAACACTAAATCTGAGGAGAAACTCTCTGCCTCTCAGCTGATCACACGACGTGGACTCACCTTGTTGTTCTTAGTTCTTGTGCTGACTGTTGGGGTGGCTGCCCACATAGCTTTTCCTGTGCCAGAGCCCAGTCCCCAGAGCAGGGCTAACTTTACACTCCACTGGGCCAATGACTCCACTCCAACACCGCTGGACTCCACCACAACCTTCTGAGCTGCATTTCACCCGGGGATGGTGACACCTTGTGACTGCGCTCGGCTCTCACACTGTTCTGTCGAGAGGCCACAGGGTTTGGGTTGTGCTGAGAAAATGGCCCCGGTGCTGCACGGCTGAGCAAATGAAAGCAAATGGCTGATGCTGGCAGGAAGAACAAAGGTCCAGCAGCACAGATTGTGTGCAGCTCGGTCACTCTGAGGGGCCTCTCTGGGACAACACAGAGCATTCTGAGACGGGCTTTTTCTTGGAAGAGAAACGTTTTAAGAAGAACAGACATTTTACTACAAATACATCAGAATATTTCATGTTTTCATGGTTTGATTTATGCTGTCAGATACTTTCTTTACTTACTGAGCTCATATTGTTTTTCCTGTATTTTAACATAAAACTGAATGTAAATATGTAAAGTTTACATGCACACATGTAAATAAACGAGAAAGTGTAGCTACATAAATAGATGGTCTGTCATTTGTATCCTCTTATCATTGTTGCTTTGCCCTTGTATTCCTGAAGACATCATTTATTATTTTTAACATGTTTTATTTTTATGTTTATTGTCCTCCATCAGAGCTAAGAGGGGGAACTGGAAATACCCTCAGTCTGTTCGTCTGTTTGTTCATGCATGTTGTGAGCATGATAACTTGAAAAATAAGTGAGGTACCGCCGACTTCCATTTTGGTGTGTAGCTGCATGCAGGTGGAAGACATCCCATTTAGGGAAAATTATGTATTCTAGTTTTTGTATTGCTTAAAGTATAGTTTCCTCAAATGAATGGGGTGGCAAAAATTAATCTATGATTGCCAAGGCCCCATTAACCCCCCCCCCCCCTGGTTTCACCACTGCACCTGTTCGTTGATAAAATTGCTCTCTCCACTCACCAGGATCAAAAATCCCTCAGTGACAGGAGACATTGGTGTACTGTTTGCTAATCAGTAAAAACATTTGGAGTACCAAACAATGATCCTGACATAAAATGTTGCTTCTTTTCTAATAAATGTCATAACTTTTTTTTGGATGCATTTACCAGAGAAATTCACGTCAAAGCAATCGGGAGCATGTTAGATGTATTAATGTTCGTTTTCTTCAGGAAGCACAGTGCATCATAACTCTCAGTCCTGCTGCACCGACAAGAAATCTTTCCAGTCACTTTCCACTTGTTAATGATGCCCCAGCATGTCACTGATTGCAGTCTCTGGAGGTGAGCGGGCCCAGATTGAAGACTCTGTGAGGAGCCTGTGACTATATGTCTGCTGATGAGCAAAACGTATCCATGTATGAATCCAAGCTGATTTACATGTTGAATAATAACACATTAATATGCATGTTTAGGTGAAGGTGACATGTTTGATATAAAGGTTAGTGTGTGAGCTACACAGGAAGGTACAAACATGATGGATACCTCACAAAGAACCCTTTAGAAATTCCCCCCATTTTGTTAAACTTGGTTTTATTTCTGTATTATTAGGAGATATGAAGATGTAGGTTTTCTCTTGATATTTAAAATGTCAGTCACAGTTTGTTGCGCCAGAATTCAATGTTTTAACTTAATGAGATGTCCTGTAAAGTGTCACTGAATGAAAGACAAATATATGTAACCGAGTTCTCGGAGCTCGTTTTATTAAAAGTATAATTTACAAGGCGATGTGTGTGAGGTGAAGACTCCGCAGAATTAAACTATTTTCAGGGGTGATCAAGGATTACTAAAAAAAACTTCATGTTCTATGGCAACAAATCATTCAGGTTCCACTGGATTCCACCTGAAGCCATTTGCTGCAACACACAACATTTCTGATTTTCACAAAACCTCTTCCGCACTTGTGCTGTCTGCTGCCAGGAAGGAGAGGGAACAGCCAACAATCAGACACTTTCAGGATTTACTACGATGTTTTTAAAAGTCACCCAACGATAGCCGATCCATAGAGGGAAAATTAATTCGCCCCACAATGTCCTCCTAATAAATAACGTAAATGATTTATTTATTGAGCTTGCTGATAATTCTTTTGTTCGGTGTATTTTTCAACTATTTTTTTTTTTTTACAGTTTTTAAACAGAACTTAAAAGTTTTTTTTAGAGATTCATTCTCAGTTTTTTTTTTTTTTAATTTACTTATTTACTGTTATGGGGCGGTACCGTTCAGCATGCCACATTCATCAAGTGGAGCAGAACATGTCCAGTGATCTGAACAGTAGCTGCAATATAGCCTCGTTTGAGGGGTCAGATTTTCTGCACTGTGGACACATTCGGCTGGTTTCAGCGCATTGATATGACCACAAACACTTGACCTGACGTGGGCTTTAACCCAGCAATAGCTGCAGCGAAACCTGCTGTGTTGTGAACATATTATGTTTAGATCCATTTGGAGCAGACGGAGGGGACCAGAGCAGAAAACTGAGGAGGACAAACAAAAAGCAGAACATTTTCACCAACAGTGGATCTTATTTAATCAGTTCTGTGGTGAGTGTGTGGCTGTGATAGGTCAGTGGTTAATTCGTTGGTTTTGTAATCAGAAGACATAAATAAATAAACATCAACAATAAATAAAGCACAATATTAAGCAACATATATCCTATTTTTATCACAGAGAATGAAATGCACTTTGCAAAATTTGTGCGATTAGTGATTCAGGAAATTCACATCCACCCCACTAATATTTTTGCTTGCTGAAGTCACAGCTTCTAATCCCATTTTTTCTCATATGTTCCTGCTGTTTAAATCAGTCATTCTCAACTAGTGGGTTAGAAAAACGTAACATTCTGATTACCATGTCTGCCTTATGCAGTGTTGCCAGATATACAAAACTTATCCTATTTTTACAATGGGTTTGGGGCAGGGGTTGAACGACTACATGTTTTTAAAGTCGACTTAAATATGATAGAAGTTGAGTCAACGTAGACTAGTTGATGTGACATCATAGGAACTCAAGATGCTATTCACAAAAAAACACAATTTATTATTTACTCCCCCAAAAAATAACAACAAAACGTCAGGAGTGTATATTTACCATTTATCATATAGTAAATAAGTCACAGGAAAACCAAAACTATAATTAAGCTGCAAAAGTTCGTTTTATTTTATTTAATCCACTAAATAAAATAAACCACCGTGGCAGTGGTCCACCGGCAGTGGTTCTCCCTCTTGTTTTATTTTATTTCATTTAGTGGCTTCAATAAAATAAAAATTATCCACCGCCTCACTCACCGGTGGTAAAACTTCCACTGCCGGTTTGGAGATTCCCCAACTACCAGTGCGCACCGTGCACTATCACCACAGTCACTGGTGGAGAATCCATCACTGCTGGTGTGGATTGCTCTCCATCCATCCATCCATTATCTTTACCCGCTTATTCATTTTGGGTCACGGGGGTCGCTGGTGCCCATATCCAGCAATCACTGTGCGAGGGGCGGGGGACACCCTGGACAGGTCTCCAGTCCATCACAGGGACACATAGAGACAAACGAGACAAACAACCATTCACTCTCTCACTCACACCTAGGGACAATTTAGAGTTACCAATCAGCCTAACGTGCATGTTTTTGGACTGTGGGAGGAAACCGGAGTACCCGGAGAAAACCCACGCATGCACGGAGAGAACATGCAAACTCCACCCAGAAAGGACCCTGGACCGGGGTTTGAACCAAGGACCTGCTCGCTGAGAGGCAGCAGCTCTACCAGTTGTGCCACCGTGCTGCCCTGACTGCGACTAGTCAACGTGAAATTTAAAAACTCGTGAGATGTCCCAGAATCGGCCAGTCGACTAGTCGGTTCAACCCCTAGTTTGGGGTCTCTCCACCTTATTCCTGGGGGCTCGACTGTATAAATGATTATGGTACAACTTCCTGTCTGACACAGGAAGTATCAGTAACCATTGGTGTCAGAGCATGGTCCGCGCTGGATCCTCAGAAGGATTGAAAACAGTGTGACGAGAATGTCAGGTATTTAGAAGTTCATGCTCAAAGATCCAGGTAAAGAAATCCAACAATGTTCAGTCAGGTCATCTGGACAGTTCCTTTTTTATGTTGAGAGACGTTTCGCCCTCCATCGAAGGGCTTTTATATCTATATAGACTCTTGAATAAGTGACTGAATATTTTTTTACAAGATATTGTTAGTAATATCATGTTCAGTAGGTTTGTACTGAGTCAAAACTTTTTTAAACGACTTATCTTGTAGATGGACCTTTTGATTTCATGTGTGTGAAAGTCCATTTGAGTTGATTAAAAATGTAGTGAACCGAATGACAACACTACAGATGTCGGTGAAACACACCAAGACGTTGCTGTCGTTGCCTCAAACAACCCCTCATCGGATGAAAGGGGGATAATCACACACACAAACGATGACCAGTCATCGCAAGCTGAACACGCAGAAACAGCTACAGCTGTGCTGACGGTTCAGACAAACCAAGATTACACAAGCATTTCTGAACGCATGAAGAAGCGTCAGAAAAAACCCAAGAGGTTTCTGTGTAACTTTATCAGAAAGGGGGCCGCCAAAAAGGCGTACCTGTCAGTAACACTCGAAGGTGTCCTCACACACGAAGCACTCTTGGACGGTGGGGCAGACATAACAATTATGTCAGCTAAACTGTTCGAGGAGCTGAGGACAGCCGCAGCCGAGAAAAACAGGATAATACCTCTATCTGATTGTGCTATAGAAATGCAGGGTCTCTCAGAAATGAAAACAACCCTGACAGCTATAGCAATGGTTCACATGCAGATTGGCAATATGACACTGTACCACCCGGTACACGTGACCCATGTTGACTCATTCCCATTTTTGGTTGGCCAGGATTTTATAAATCGCTTCAACGCGATTATAGATTATGGTGATCAAACAATGTGGACAACAGTGAGCAAACCACTGCCAATAGAAACGCCTCCGGAGTGTGACACAGACTGCCCAACAGCAGGTACCGCGGAAGGCACAAAGGACTCCTCAGCCGAGGACACGAGCCCGGTGAGTACTCCTCTGACACCATGTGAAACCAAAGAAACCCAAGAGGTCCAAACTCTGACTCAACAAGACAGCCTCCTCTGTGAGCTGGGGCAGTCAGAGTCCACCAAACACTACCTACCACTGGTAGTTAAGGGTGTAGAGATCCAAGGGTCCCACACCAACGATGCTGTACTGTCTCTGTGGACAGATAAATCAGCAATTAACCGAGCTTTCTACGAAACCTTGGTTCACAAACACGTTGGTCTAGAACTAATTAAAAAAGCTTTCCGCTTTCCATTAGTTCCCAATAGTTCACAGGTAATGACCGCAGAAGGAGTCATTAACCTAAAACTGAACTGGAATCAACGAGAACTGGTTCACCCATTTCTCGTTAT